ATGTAGGTAGGAGCAATGTGCTGAATTTCTATGGGTAATACAGGAAGGGGACAAGGGATGGAGAAATGGTTAGGGATCTTATCAGATTTTCTCATTATTTGAAATTGTCTTTTGGATTAGAAACCAGAACTTTAGAGATGTAGATATAAGTACTATAAGGAGAGAGACAAAGAAGAAAGAAAGAAAAGGAAGAAGGAAGGGAGGGAGGGAGAGAAGAAGGACAGAAGGGAAAGAAGGAAAGGAGAGATCTAAGGGAGATTGAAATTTCTTCTCTTTTTTTAACTTTTATTTTAGGTCCAGGAGTACACGCTCCAGTTTGTTCTATAGGTAAACTTGTGTCATGGGGGTTTGTTGTACAGATTATTCTATCACCCAGGTACTAAGCTTAAAACCCAATAATCATTTTCTCTGCTCCTCCCCCTCCTCCCGACCTCCACCCTCAAGTAGGTTCCAGTGTCTGTTGCTTCCCTCTTTGTGTCCATGTGTGAGAGATTGAGATTTCTTTAGAAAAAGTAGAGGCATTATCATACTAAAAATATCATACTAAAAATTTGACTTTTTATTAGAAAGAAGAGAGCTATTAGGAGAACTTCAACAGCAATTTTTTGGAAACTTGAATATATGATTCAGTTTTAGATGAAGTTTATTCAAACTAAATTAAAATGGGTTTGAAAATGTTCAAGTTTTCCAGAGAGCACGTGAGCCCAACCTTGCTAGTCAACTTTGTAGAGCAACATTGTTGACAGCAAGTATGTTTAGGGATAGGTTAAAGAAAACACAAAAGTTCATGTCCACAGGCGATCACGTTGAAGGCCTTGATGGGGATGATAATGTGACTTCAGCTATATAGAAGAAGTGTTAAAAAACTGAAAATTGGTTCCTATGCCAAACTGTCCATTGTCATCTGATGCATCGGGCATGAAAATATTTGCCTTGAGGCAGGGCACAGTGGCTTGTGCACACAATCCCAGCACTTTGAGAGGCTGAGGCGGGTGGATCACTTGAGGTCAAGAGATTGAGACCATCCTGGCCAACATGGTGAAACTCCGTCTCCAGTAAAAATACAAAAATTAGCTGATTATGGTGGTGCATAGCTATAGTCCCAGCTACTCAGGAGGCTGAGGCAGGAGAATTGGTTGAACCTGGGAGGCGGAGGTTGCAGTGAGCTGAGATCGCGCCACTGCACTCCAGTCTGGTGACAAAGTGAGACTCTGTCTCAAAAAAAAAAAAAAAAAAAAAAATTGCCCTGAAGTGTGGATCATGGGATATAAGAAAACCCAAGTCAAACATGCATTCTCACATCATATCTGCTGAAGCTCACCATGTCCTAGTTCCTAGCAACTGACCTTCAATTTGAGATATTAACCACAGACAGCTACCAGCCAATAAGTGAGCTTCCCAAAGAGAACACATAAACATCTTCCCAAACTTGGAGTTTATTTTTGAGTTAGGAAGGTAGATGCATCACAGAAAAATGACACAGTGTTAATGGAATCTCCCTTCACTTGTTTAATTAGCATTTTTGACTTTTTGAGAAAGCTAGCTCCTTCATCAACAACTAACTAGGATGCTCCAATCAAACTCAAGGTAAATAGGAAGCATTTCTAGAGAACAAAGTAATTAAATTTAGCTTTGGACCTCACAGAAATAAAAACTCAAGGAGCACATATTCATTTATCCATTCATCAATTATTTCATCTTATGCCAGTTATGGCCAAAGATTCTAAATTCTAGATTCTGTGGGTGCTACAGAAATGAGCAACAGTTTCAGCCCTAAAGTTTATTATCTCATGTGGGATACAGTAATAAGAGCTAACATTTTTGTCCACTTAACTACATACTAGGTAGTCATCTAAACGTTTTCTATGGTTTATTCTCACAATGGCCACATGAGGTAAGTACCATTATTAGAAACACACTTGCCCAAGGTCATTGAGGTAGTTGGACACAAACCTGGGCCAGAACAGAGGCAGTTCGGCACCAGTGTCTGTAGCTGAATCGTTTCCTCTACCTAGATGGTGCCCTGCACACAGCAGGCAGGAATCAAACTCAGATGCTGGCAGGCGAAGCCATGAATTACGCAGGCGGGTGAGTAAGGATCTGTAAAAGACAGCTCCTGCTCACTTCCAGCAGATTGCTGCCAGATATTCAGGTTTTTTAAGAGCTATCAGAAGTTCAAATTACATGAAATCTTTCTATTTTTATGTGTTACAATCTAATTTTAAAAATTTAAAAACACTGAGGCCAAACAAAACATGTCCGTAGACTATATTCTCCCCAAACACTATGGGTTTACATCTTTTGACCTATAGAACAACAAAACATTTTGTGTACTTTTGAAGACCTCCCATATCTTGGTGCCTTATTCTCTGTAATAGTTCTTCCTGCCTCATACCACCCCCGTCCCACCCTTCGCCGCCTTCTTACTGGACCTTTCACTTTCCCAAGAGTGGCTCCTGCATATCCTGCCTCTGGCTATGGCCCACTCTGTTTCTCCTGCCTGGGATGCTCTTCTCTTGCCCTTGTCTGCTTGCCACATGAATGAGACCTTGAAGGATGAGTAAAACATCAACAGGTAAAGACAGGACTGGCAAGGGAATTCTATTCAGATAGAATAGCATGAACAGGTATACAGAATATGAAAACAGGACATGTTGAAAACCACCAAACAGTTCCAACTATTTTAAAAGAGGCCTCTGGTCCTTGGAATCTGTTCTTAGAAAGAGACTGCTGGCATTCTTGACATACAGAAATCTTCTAAAAGGATTCTTTGCATAAGGATCACTGATGATTTAGGGTTTGTTGAAATAGTTCAGATAAATATTTATATATGGCCATAAGCAAGTCCCCAAGGAAAAATATAACTCAAAACAGATTTTTCCTTGAAGCTTTTTTCAGCTGGTTATAAGGTTTCTGCCTTCAAAAAGGTTTTGAAAATACATGTGACCAATTAATATTTTAAAAATCTAGAAAGTCTAAGGAAGCCCTAGCATCAACTAAGCTCTGAAAGTTATTATTTGAGGGTATGATAATGTCATGCTGGCAATGTTGGTAAGGGTGACTTCTGAACCCAAAGTCAACCTCAGTTTCACACCTGAGATAAGAGCTAGGAATACAAGAAAACAAAATTTGTCTCTAAAGTTAAAGCAGAGAGCGAGCATTGTTCAGTTTCTAAGTGATAGAAACCTCAATGTTCATTTTAGTCTATGATTCTAGAGCTAAGTCAAAGTCTTGACCCTTCATATGAGTTTAACTTTATAGAAAACTTTTCCATACTAATATTACTACTATTGTTGCTACTACTTCTATCACCACGACCAACAACAGCTTGCCATAATCCCTTATTGAGTATTCATTACATGTCTAGAACTGTGCTAGTTCCTTTGCTTTGATGATCTCCAGTCCTCCCAATTATTCCCTTTTTGCAGTCTAGGATACTGAGGTTCAGAGAGAGGAAGGAATTTGTCCAATGTCTCATAGCTTATAAGTAGTTGTACTAGGATTCAAACCCCGGTCTGTCACCAAAGCTCATCATTTTTCTACTCAAATGAGATAATACATACAGTATCTACCACATCTTAAGCACTTGATCAAAGAAGGCTACTATTCCTACCACCACTCCCACATCATGCTGCCATTTCCCTCTGGTTTCATATGGGGTCCTCCAATGTGTTAGTGCACTAACTTGACCACAGTGGTAGGAAATTTGCTGGAGGATTTGTTCTGTTCAACAGTCTTAGAACTGCCATGTATTTCTGCAATGACCCTCACACACAATGTTTGTCAAGATAAGTGGCAATCTCTACTTCACAGCCCACATGAAAATCTGGCCCACAGTCGGCCCTGCTGACTGGGAGGCTGTTTCTCTGGCTCATCGATTCTGAGGTCAGCCCAATTGGCTCCAAGCCTCAGAGCCGCAAGGATGACACATGGGAGAAATATGCACTCGTTTTCCCCTTGTGAGCTACCAGTTCTCCTCGAGCTGCCTGAGTCATGGAAGTTCCCATCCCTCTGAGTCTGAATCCTCATTGAAGGGCCCACAACGAAGCAGCTTCACTGGGGGTGTGTTCAAGCCATCTTGTGAAAACACTTGCACCAGCATTATCAATCTCCTGCCTCCTTCATATAGGTTCCTTTTACACAACAACAGGCTAGCTGTGCTAAAGAACGTCACATAAAAGCCTTGTGAGAGCTTTGCCATATGCAGGCCAAATTAAATTAAGGGGCATAATCCTCACCGTTGTATTTATCAGCATTAAAATGGGGGATTACCATCATGGGAACAAAGCCCCACAACATAAAAGACTATTTCCATTCTGTCACTCACTGTACACAGTTACAGGCTCACATAGGAAGTGAAGCAGAGAAGCATCACCCCAACCACTCACTTCTACTTTCAACCTGAGGTTTCCTTCTCTCCAGCCAAGTTAACCCTGTCCCATCATGCACAGATGGGAGCACCTTTCCCATGAGGCTTTCTCCCAAGAACTGGGTGCTGGAATTTTCTTCATCAATCACAGGGTGACAGTTAAAACAATCAGGGTGTATTTCTCAGTGGGTGGTGATTTCAGATTTAAACAATGACAGGTATAGAGACAATGTGGGTGGAGAGAAAATGTCCTGGACTAATTATTTGGAGCCTGGAGCCATGAGAGGCAGTAGAATGTACCAGTTAAAAAATGAGTGCTCTGGTCAGAAGGCCCATGTTCAAATCCTGATTCTGTCACTTTACTGATTAAGTAACATTGGCAAATTACTTGTAATCTCTCAATGTCACAGATTATAAAATCTGTACCTTTCCCATAAAGTTGAGTAGGATAATGCATGTAAAACACTTAGCACAGGCCAGGCACTGTGGCTCACGCCTATAATCCCAGCACTTTGGGAGGCTGAGGGGGACAGATTGCTAGACGTCAGGAGTTCGAGATCAGCCTAGCTAACATGGTGAAACCCCATCTCCACTGAAAACACAAAAATTAGCCAGGTGTTGTGGCACACGCCTGTAATCCCAGCTACTAGGGAGGCTGAGGCAGGAGAATCACTTGAACCCAGAGGGTGGAGGTTGCAGTGAGCTGAGCTCACGCTATTGCATTCCAGCCTGGGCAACAGAGTGAAACTCCATCTCAAAAAACAAAAACAAAACCACTTCGCACAGTGCCCAGGAAGTTGCTAATGAATACCAAATGTTAGCGGTTATCATTGTTGGAGATAGAAGATCTGAATTCAAAGCCCAGACCCACCATTTATTCTCTGTGTGACCCTGCATAACCCTGTGATTCCCTGACTAGCTGATGGGGGGCAGGTGCAGGTAGATCTGAAACCAATCCAGCACTGGTCTCTGAGATAATGTTTATGAGCTATTTGCCTTAGCTTTCCCTAGGTTCGGTTTATCTGTAATATAGAGTGAGTAACACCAACCCAGAAGGCCAGTGTGAGAATTACATGAGATAAAATGTGGAGGAAAAAAAACCTAGCATAGCAATAAGTGCTAACAATAAATCTGAATGATCCCAACACTTCCCTGCAGTTCTTATTTGCAGCAATATTTCTTGACATGTATGGATCTTCCTTATGAACTCTTCCCTCTGATTTTGCCTTCCCTTCATCTTTTCCTGGTACCTGTCTGCTCCCATCACTGTCTCTCCAGGACTCTTGAGGCAGACTTTGCTGGTTGCTTCCCTCTTCCTTTCTTCTTGCCTAATCTCTCAACCTCCTTTGCAGCTTTCCTGCAGAACCACCACTGCAAATTCTGGCCAATCATATGCAAGAGAAGTCTCCTGGGTGACTTCTGGGAAAGATTTCCCTCCTAGCAAATGGAGAGAGACTCCTGAGAAGAATCCCCTTTCCATCTGCTTCCGTCTTCCTGCTCCAGACACTGCCATGTGAGGAAGTGATGCTCAGTGTTGCTCCAGCCACCTCGTGGCCTTAAGTGGGGGCCTCACTGACATGCCGAGAACAGCAAAGAAAAGAGATGCAAGGGGCCTGTGTCTTGACATTCCTGAATGGTTGACCCAGCCCTGGAACTTCTGTCTTTGGATGTTTTGTCTCGAGGGATCCTTGAATCTATGGGTTGAAGGTCTGTTACTCCCACCGAGAACATCACAAGTGACACAATCCAGCTCTCTTCTTACTCTGCCCACCCCAAACCCTTCCTTACTCCCACCCCACCCTCTGCCCAAGAACTCCTTCCTATCAGCCCTTGTAGATTCACAGAACACTGAGTTGACAAACATAAGGGGGAAAACAGAATCCCAGCCCCTGTATCAGGGATACCCTGGCCCACTGTTTGGTAAGTTATTTGGGATCCTCTTATTGTTGCCACTACCCAAAGACTCACAGGAAAAACACTTCCCTCATAAAAATCTGAGTGCTGACAAGTGGCTTTGAAAGTTAGCTCTGTAAACTTATTGAGTAGCTATTGTGTATGCTGGATACAAGAAAGAGTAAGACTCAGTCCTCACTGTTGAGAAGCTAACTTGCGAGCACAAGGTCAACCATAACACCAGGCAAAATATAAAGAGCACCAGAGAGAATGATACACCAAAGTGTGGTGTGAGGACCCAGTCTGTGAACTGTTACTACTCACAATGACATAAGGAGTTAGTGCCAGAATGTAAATCAATTCATCACCAAGAACAGTGTTTAGTTCAGCTGATTTTTTTTAGTAACAAGACTTTCTTAATGAAGAAAGCAGTGAGTTGACTTACATTTGGGCACAAATTCATTAACCTGTTGTGAAACACACTTTGAGTAGTACTGTTACAAAAGAGCTACAGCTCAAGGAGCATTAAAAAGAATTAGGTCTTCATGAAGTCACCCAGGAGACTTCTCTTGCATATGATTGGCCAGAATTTGCAACGGTGGTTCTGCAGGAGAGCTGCAAAGGAGTTTGAGAGATTAGGCAAAGAAGAAAGGAAGAGGAAAGCAACTTTTTAGGGAACCTAAAAAGAATTAAGTTCGTTATGTCTGATGAACATAAAGCTCTAGCAACTTCAATATATGTCCACTGTGAGTTGGGTGTAGGAGTGTGGAGCTCAGAACAGAGACTTGGGACTCGTGCTCACATAGCTGATATGACAGTGTATCTCGACCAAAAGGTAAGAGTTGAACAGAAAGGAATGGACAGAGAGAAGAGAGGTAGGTGCGCTGGTAGCACAATAAGAAGTCTGATTCTGGTTAGCCATGAGGTGTATTAGGGACAAAGTGGAGGTGAGCTTGGAGGACAAACTGAAACGAGCTAGAGAGAGGCGTGGAACAGCAGTCTGAGAAGTCGGAACTTCTTTTGGTCTAAAATAGGAAGCCATTAAAGTTCTTTGAACAAGTCAGGATATGTTGTAAGACAATTGATCAGGTGTGAGAAATGAAAGCGGGTCTGTAAAGACAGAAGGAGAAAGGAAAAGAGATAATGGCAGTCCTGGACCAGGAAAGAGTACTTGGAAAATGACTGGAAGTGAGGTTAAGTGAGAGGTAGGAGTCAAGAGCGACTGTGCCAAGTTTGAAGGCCAGGTCACAAGACAGTGTTTATGTCAATCATAGAAGTGGGAAGGGCAAGTGGAGGAGGTGCTTTAGGAGGGGCTTTTCTGTTGAAGTCTTGGTGTGAATCAGGAATATATGTCCACTGTGAGTTGGGAGTAGGAGTGTGGAGCTCAGAACAGAGACTTGGGACTCGTGCTCACATAGCTGAGACTTGATACCAGAACACACTGGCGAGAGATGGTATCATCCAGGGGAGAAGGAGAGAAAGGAGAGAATCTAAGACTTTGGAGAATTGCCTTTATTTTAATGGTGAGTGGAAGAGAAGAAGGATGGAGCCAGAGAAAACAAAGACTGAGAATATCTCTGAGGAAGCACCTGAAGAAGGCAATACTACAGATACCCTTGGAAGAGGGCTCTTCAAGGAAAGCACACATGGCCCATGGAACTAAATGCTGCAAAGAGTCTGATGAACATAAAGCTCTAGCAACTGGGAGCTGTGCTTCCCAAGGATAGTTTTAAGGACATTGTAGGGACACAAATCAGATTTCAGGACTAAGGAGAAAGGGGTTGGTTTAGTGAAGAAATGAGGCAGTGAACCTGGATAGCAGTTGGAGGAAGTCTGGTGGTAAAAGTAAAAAGAGGGAAGGACAGGCCAAGGGCCTGTTAGGATGCGGGGAGGGATAAGCAAAATGGAAAGTGATAGCGGAGTGTAAAAGATGGAAAAGCAGGAGAGGTGCTAACTGAGAGTGGTAGGGCCTGGATGGCAGGAACACAGCACAAGGAAGAGGATCTGGGGTCTGTGAGATGGGAGCAAAGGAAGGAAGGACAGCTGAAGATAAGGAGAGATTCTAAGGTGAAGAGAAGGGCAGTAGAAGAGCTCAGAGCACTGTCCTAAATGTTCTCAGTAAAGTCAGACATCAGCTGAGGTTGAGGAAGTCACACTGGGGTTGAATTCATTTTCCAAACTGGTTCACTGACTTGCCCAAGGTCAAACAGTTGGAAAATGTTAGCTAGGATCAGAAACTAAGTCTTCCACCCAAGCTCAGTGATCTTTCTACCACATTAGAAATTGTAAACTTCGTAATTCTAATATGAGATATTAGGTCTTTTCCTAAAGTGCCCTTAAATGAGCTATTCTGACTTTTTAGGCAAGTAGCCTAAAGTACTTTACTTTAAAGGCAGCCCAATGACAATTTGAGACCACTGGGGGAGTATTAAGAATTTAATTTATCAAGTCTCAAAAATCCTAAGAGATCTCAAAAAATGAAATAAAAAATAATTTAAGAATTATGTTTAAAATTGTAAATTAAGACTTTCTCTTTTCCAGGTGAAAAGATGCAAAGAACTTTCTAATGACCTGCTTCTTTCTTGAAATCTTTGACTAAAACTTTTAAGGAAGTTCCCCATAATCAATGTGGAAGAAAATAAGAAAGGCGAGTTTCATTCTATTTAGGCCTTCCCTTTGCCATGGTCCACTCCTTCCTGTAGCTGTGTCCTCCTCCTGGTGACATATGTGATGGGTTCTGGAAACCTTACCTGAGGGAAGGCAGATTATAAAGGCTTCCCTAAAGAACAGGCCTAGGAGTTGTTTGTGTCTCTAGCTCTTGGTGTCATGTCTGGCCTGGCTGGAATTAAAGTGTCTTGAGCCTACATTTAGCCAGCGTATTGGGCCCTGCACCTTGAGCAGCTCAGAGGTCACTGAAAGGCAAGCTCTGCTACACTCCTTTTGAATTATATTTAACTCAAACCTGTGGCTAAACAGGAAATGATACTCCCTTTTTGCTTTAGCTTAAATCTAGGGTTTCTCTACCTTTTTTTTTTTTAATATAGAGACAGGGTCTAACTATATTTCCCAGGCTGAACTCAAATTCCTGGGCTGAAGTGATACTCCCACCTCAGCCTCCCAATTACCTGGGTCTACAGGCACATACCACCATGCCTGGCTGTAGGTTTCTCAACTGTGGGACTACTGACATTTGAGGCTGGACAATTCTTTGCTGCGGGGAGGGTTTGTCATACATTGTAGGAGGTTTAGCAGTGTCACGGGCTTCTGCCCATTAGATGCCAGCTGCACAACCCTTCCCTCCAAAGTTGTGACAACCAAGAATGTCTCCAGACATTGCTAAATATCCAGGGGGAGGATGTTTAACCTAATGAGGCTAAGTATAGATTTAACCATGAAGAGAACTCAAAAAGTAGGGTTGTGTTCAGGTTGCTCTGTAGAATAAAGACTTTGCCCGCGACATGGGAGAATCTGATGGAAACACTTTTTTTTGAGATGGAGTCTTGCTCTGTCACCCAGGCTGAAGTGCAGTGGCACAATCTTGGCTCACTGTAACCTCCGCCTCTCTGGTTCAAGCGATTCTCCTGCCTCAGCCTCCTGAAGAGCTGGGACTACAGGTGCATGCCACCATGGCTGGCTAATTTTTGTATTTTTAGTAGAGAGGGGGTTTCGCCATGTGGGCCAGGCTAGTCTCGAACTCCTGACCTCAGGTGATCCACCCACCTCAGCCCCCCAAAGTGCTGGGATTACAGGCATGAGCCACCACGCCCAGCCCTGGAAACATTTTTTGGTTCCACTCTCTCCAGTTCACCAAAATACCATAGTGGTAGAAATACTTCTGTCTCATTATCCATTAGAATGGAGCACCTGAGTTTACAACAGGGAACTCTTACACTCACCCATTTTTCTCTGTGACAGCACGAGAGTTGCTTGAAGTCTGTGCGTGACCGTTGTTGGATTCTGCTTGTGAATGGCTTCTATGATCTACAGAGCCCCTGAAAACTGAGAGAAAAGAAAGGAGGGCTAAGAATACGTTCAGAAGTAGGTAGGGTTAGGTTTTGGTGCCCATCTACGCTCTCTGCAGCCCTTCTCTCCCTGCCCTCATCCCACTCCCTGACTTTCTATAGCTTTTTTCTAGGATATGTCATTAAAATTGAGCTCTTCTCCATTCCAGGTCTTGTTCCATGCTTGGTCCCAGTCAGCAAACTGTTTTCATGCTTAAAGGAAAACAAGCGACCTCTCTTTGGCAATAGATATAAAGAGTGAACAGATTAGAAGCCCCAAGTGATTTGGGTCCCAGTAGAAGCAGTATACAATAGCTGGACCAACACTGTGCTAAAGTCAGCAGATCAGCTTCTAGGCTGGCTAGGCTGCCTGCTGATGTGGACAGGTCAAGGAACAAAATGTGATGATGTGGTTAGGATTAACTGTAAAGAGAAAATCATCCCAGGAGTAACCTATTTCAACATTTTGATTGAGGACAGTTTATTGATGAGTTTCTCAAGAATGAGGGTAACAAATACAATTCTTTCTTCCAGTGACCGTGGCTAATCAATCATGGCCTTCTTTTCTACTGAACTTTAATTCAACCTCAAGTTCCTTTTTAACACTTCACATCAGTGGTTGTCAAAGTGTGGACCCCCAACAAGTAGCATCAACCTCACCTGGAAACTTATTAGAAATGAACGTTCTTGGGCCCAACTTCAGACTTTGTGAATCAGAGACTCTACAGGTAGAGTCTGGCAATCTGTGTTTTTATTAAGCTCTCCAGGTGACCTTGATCCATGTTAAATTTTGAGAGACACTACTTCCAGATCAGTGAGTCTTACTCCTGGCTATACATTAGAAACACCCAGGAAGATTTTAAACATGCCTAGGACCAGTCCCTAGAGATTCTGACATTGATCTGGGATGGGAGCTGCCATCAATTATTAAAAGAGCTCCCTAGACAATTTTAAAATGTGGCCAGGGCTGAGAACCACTGTTTCAAGTAGTCACTACCAATCAATCAGGGTTGGAAGGAGACTGCACACCTATTTGCTGTCCTTATTTGAGATAACCTAGAACCATCCAAACTGAAATATAACCAACAAAGATAATCTATACATTTGGGAATTGTGACTTACTGTGGAAGATGCATAAATGGTTGACGTTAGGATTACAGAATACATGATAGAAACAGAGTGTAGAAAAATAAATAAAAAGTATAGAAATCAGTTGTTTTTGTGTTGACTGTTCTGGAAAGAACATGTGCAGAAATCAGTTGTTTTTGTGTTGACTGTTCTGGAAAGAACATGTGCTGATTTTAAATTGTTAGTTTGGCTCCTTAGCATAAATATTTCTTGTGTGGAATAAATGCAATTTTTGAGCTAAGGTGATGGATAAAAAGACTTGTTGTTGTTGTTATTATTATTATTGCTACAAACACCAAAAGGATAAAGAGAAAAATTTAAATGAGACTAATACATTTTTATTATTATACACACACACACAGACAAAACATTATGGCCAAACAGTGAAGCAACAATATTGAAAGAAGGAAAAAATAGAAATCAAGAAAAATAGCCACAGCCTGTTAGAATTTCATTAACTAATTCCCTTCCTCTCCCCCATTGCCTTTTCTCCACTGATAAAATCCTCCAGTTAGAGCACCAGGCAGGATTTCCCGCTCTGGGAGATTCTAAACCACTGTTTGGCCCACACTCACTTGCAATGCTGTGATAAGCAATATAAAAGCAAGAACCGAAATAAAAACAAAAGAGGGGAACCCACTTCAGGGATACAAATATCTTTCTGTTTCCCTGTGAAGAAGGAAAAATCACCACAAATAATTTTTAATCTTGTTCTCTGGCCCAACTCAGCAGCACTAGGAGGTACCAGTGATCAAAGTCCAAATGATATTGCCCTTGTGGAAAGCTAAGATTGCAAGCTTTTGTCTGTACCTATTTTGAGATCCTTAGTTAAAAAAAATAATAATTATAAGGAGCAATAGCCATCCAAAGAGGAAAAAAGCACAAAGAGATCTAGAAAAAAAACTGTAAAATCTCTTTTGGTTTGGGACTCTCCTTATGAAGGTGCCATGTCCAAGACCAGAATGAGAGGAAGCAACATCTTTACCTGGTTCAGCAAATGCGCCCAGCTACTTTGCTGGGGTTTCCACAGAATTTCTGTTCATGTAATTGAAAGGAAAACTTATTCCATGTTTCTTATTAATTTACACTTCAGTCATCAAAATATTGATTTTTTAAGAGTTATTTGAAGCATAAAACCAGAAACTTACAGAATATTCTGAATAAAGCTTAGAGGGAATCTGCTCCTCCATCCCCCCAGCTTTGCTGAAGAACAGGGAGAAGGATTTGGGTCAAACTAAAGAGATAAATAAGATTATCAAACCATTGAATTCAAAGCAGCATCCAAAATTGTCAGTTTTCAGTATGATCTGGTGACAGTTGGAATCACCTGGCTTCTCTCTGGCAAACGAATTGCTGAACAAGGAAATTGGAGAAATGGAGACATGAAGGAAAAAGGAGAGAGAGAAGGTGACTCATTTTAAGTGTATGAATAGGTTGAGTTAAAAAAAATTAGACCAGGCCAGGCACGGTGGCTCACACCTGTAATCCCAGCACTTTAGGAGGCTGAGACGGGCGGATCATGAGGTCAGGAGATCGAGACCATCCTGGCTAACACGGTGAAACTCCGTCTCTATTAAAAATACAAAAAAGTTAGCCAGGCATGGTGGCTGGTGCCTGTAGTCCCAGCTACTCGGGAGGCTGGGAGGCAGAGCAATACTTGGAGCGGAGTTCTGGAGGAACTGAATCCTTCCAAACTCTGATTGAGCTCTATGAGCCATTCATATTTTTCAAGGAGAAAAATTAGTCAAGTGTCAAGTCTTTACCAGACTGTTTTGAAGTAAGATGGAAAAGCATTTGATTGTCAGGAAAAAAACAAAAACAAACACACAAAAAAACACCAAGAACACCATTAGGAGGTGTTGCAAATGCCTTTGGGGCCACTTAGGAAGAAATATAAATGTGTGAAGTACCGGGCAAAGAGGATGGGGAATCGTGGGCTTTGTGATGAACCAGAGAATTCACACCCCACTTAAAGACATTCAGGTTCAAAGTTTTTTAAAAAGCACTGTGCCTGGCCAAACACAACACATCGTTGGAGGATCTATTTGTGGCTTCTAGGGGGAAACAGTGGTCCACACCCTCAGTCAGTAACAGCCAGCCACGCTTCTTTTGAAAATGAAAACTCTCCCATTGTCTCCATCCCCAAGTCTCCTCAAGTTCAAGAAACACTGATGTTCTCCTGGATCCTGCTACCTCTCTTTGTCTCCTACTCCCTAACCTCCTTGCCCCAAGGTAAAGTTCCAGTTCTATATTTCCTTGAAACAGACTGAGTGACAGATACTAAAGGAATCTGAAGTACCCAGAGCCTCTCTGCCTACACACTGGGCAGTGGCACTGGGGTTGGCAGATCAACTGTAACTGTAAATTCTACCACAAAGTCCTCACTTTCCATCAAATGCAGGTGCTGGTATTAAAGCCCATACTTCAAAAATCACAGCCTCTCAAGCAGAAGTCCAGGGACCTTCAAAATTCAAAAGGGTGAGACTGCAATATTTTTAAAATGTTTGAAAACCATGATTTAGTCCAATTCTCTCATGTTACCATGACTGGAGCTTAGGGATATTAACTGGTGGAGGACTGAGACCAGAAATCCACATTTCCACTTCTTGTCCACAGTACCCCTTCCTTCCATGAATGTTCTCAATTAGTCTGAGATTTATATACCAGGTTCTGGATCATAGATCTTCCCAAGACACAAAACTTTCCTCAGTCTTAAGGTAAATCTGATACAAACATGTCAGAGTCTGCCTCAAGAGGACGAGTTAAGGAGAAGCCATTGGTAAGGAGAGCTGCAACTAGACCAGTGTCCCAGGCAATATGGAAGGAGGTGGAGAGGCAGCTGTGAGGAACTGAGCTTATCCCTGTCTATTCTATTCCCTTCTATGAAATCACCTTTCAGAGTCCTCTGCAAGGTTGGTCTTAAATTTAATCGGCTGTCACCTATAGAAAAAAGGAGTGGTGGACAGAAGGTTCTTTATATAAGAGGCGATCACTTCCAGCTTTGGAACCTTCTCTGGAATGCCCCTGAGTTTAGAACACCCATTCCAAACCTCGAAAGACTCCACCTTTATGGTCACCAGGCTCGCTGCAGTCTTGAACCTTGGCACTTCCCCTGGTACCCGCTGCAACGGGGGAATGTGTCCCACTGCTTTGGTTTGAAGCGTCCCCTGTGGAATGAAACAAAAGGACTTTCTCAAGGTTATGCTCCCACACCTAGATGAATTACCAAACTGGGTGATACAAGTTGGCCAGGAAAATCCACACTTTTCTTATGGTTCAAGGCACCAAGGTGACTAATCTCACCTATGGACTTGGCGCTTATTTTTAAGATTTAATACAGGCTAGTTGAGAAAGGGCACAATAGTAGGAAACAGGAGAATTAATAATTGTTCTGGCTAGATTTTCTTTTTTTTTCTTTTTTTCTTTTTTTTTTTTTTTTGAAACGGAGTCTCGCTCTGTCACCCAGGCTGGAGTGCAGTGACTGGATCTCAGCTCACTGCAAGCTCCACCTCCCGGGTTGACGCCATTCTCCTGCCTCAGCCTCCCAAGCAGCTGGGACTACAGGCACCCACCACCTCGCCCGACTAGTTTTATGTATTTTTTAGTAGAGATGGGATTTCACCGTGTTAGCCAGGATGGTCTTGATCTCCTGACCTCGTGATCCACCCGTCTCTGGCCTCCCAAAGTGCTGGCTTTGAGCCAGCCGAGCCTGACCTCTGGCTAGATTTTCTACTAGCTGAATGACATTGGGTAATTTGGGGAAACTGTGTCACTGATCACATTAGTCAAATAGGGAAACTCAGTGACAAACAGAGGTCCTGAGTGCACCAGGCTAGGACTCTTGGTTTGGTCACTGGATAGTTTTCCTGCTGTCTTTCAGTTGCCACTACCAGGGAAGTAAACCAAAGGGTGAGCTCTCTCCCAGGAATCTGCTCCTTTTTTTCCTCCACATCTCTGCCTCTTGGAAATGCCCTTCCCTTCCTGTTATCTTGCAGCCCTGATCACAGATCTTTATTATACTGTCAGGGAGAAGATAGACTACACACTATATTCACTTGAGGAATATCACATTGCAGCTTCTCGTTGTCCAGTCAGCTTACTTCCTGCTGGATTCCCCAAAATAATGGCTCCACTAGGGATTTTCGCAGCTGTCATATCTCTTCTTCCATTCTCCATGACCTCAAGGTCACGAGGAGCTGAAGATGTTCCTACATCTTTTTCCTCAGATATCTGGAGAAGGCAGGTTCTTTCCATTGGATCTCCCGACTTTAGACAGAAACTACACTGGCAGCAGGACTCCCCCTCCTCATGGAGGAGATTTTTTCTGGTCCCGCCCCGAGGCAGTCAACCCTAACTCTGTCCACATCTCCTTTTTTCCTGGCCTCTTACCTAGACCTTGTTCTCACTTCCTACACCTTCTTTCTGGCTTTGGCTATTTCTATTTCTGGCAGCAGTGCTTCCAAATGTACCACATTAGAATATTTGGTATCTCTGACCTTTCTCTTTTATTATTTGCTCAGATGCGATTTTTAAAAATCCTGTCTTTCTCCCTCCTTCTGGTTGACTCCTCCATCTTGGGCATCACCTTTCCACACCCAGCTTGCTATCACCCTTGTCTCTCCATTCCTTTCAAGTGGCCAAGTAAACATTTCTAGCTGCCTCAAAGTAAATTTAAAGAGACACAGGCCCTTCCACCAAGGAGCTCGCATTCTAATACAGAAAGTAAGAGTAAAAAGAGATTAAAGATGTGAAAGCACCCGCAACTTTTAAGGGGGGGGTGTACCAGTTTGACTAGTGATATCCCACAATTCATGTCTATTCAGAACCTCAGAATGTGACCTCACTTGGAAACAGGGTGTTTGCAGATGTAGTTAATTAAAAATGAGGTCATGTTGGATGAAGGTGGGTCCTGAAGCCAATGACTGAAGTCCTTACAAACAGGCCATGTGAAGATACAGAGAGACTCAGGGAAAAGGCATACGACAATGGAAACTGAGAGTGGAGTGATGGGTCTACAAACCAAGGAAGGCCAAGGATTGCCAGGAACCAAGAGGAGACTGGAGAGAGACTTGGAACAGACTCTCCCACAGAACCTCCAGTAGAAACCAACATTGCTGACACCTTGATGGACTTCTAGCCTCCAGAACTGTGACAGAATAAGTTTCTGTTGTTTTCAGCTGCATAGTTTGTGGTAATTTGTTGTGGCAGCCCTAGGAATCTAATTTTGGAGTTGGGGAGTAGCATGACAGATGTTAATGATGGAAATTAGAAGAAAGAAGGAAAAGATCAAACTGAAAGGTATGTACTTTCAGCTTGATTTGGCTGAGGGGTGCGGGGGAAAACTGGGTGGGAGGAGGTAAGAAAAGCTCCATTATTTTTATTTAACAAACATTATCACACATATGGATTATTATGTTCTATGCACTGTTCTCAGTCCTTTACAAACATTAACTCATTTAATCCTCATAGTAACCCTAAAAGAGAGCGACTACTTTATTCCCATTTTACAGCTGAGGAAATTGAGATAAGGGGAGGTTAAATGACTTGCCCAAAGTCCCACAGCTCTAGAGTGGCAGAGCCAGGATTTGAACCCAAGAACAAAATTTTTTCCTAATGTCTGAACTCCTAAATAATACATGATGCAGGTCATTTATTTAAACATTTTAAAATAATAATCCCTATTCTCCTTTTTTTCCCCTTTATAAATGAAAGTAAAAAAATCAGACCTTTGTACATTCTTTCAGGTGCTTGGGCCTCTAATGGTCCCACAGATTAGCTGCTGCAGAGAGAGGCTCTGGCCTGGCCTGGCATTTAGTGATCCACCCAAAGGACAGATCAGGCATTTTTTCACAGAGACTGTCCTGGTAGGTTTCCTGGTTGGTGATCTAGGCTGGGTAAATGTTCCTGCCCTCATAATGGGCCTGGCGAAGGGCACCCACTGTATCTGGCAGAGAAGGCACATATGGATGAAGTACAAAAGCCCAGGCTTCCCCTCCTAACTGCTGCTGGCAGATTTTACAAGGAGCCAGTGTGGTTTCTGGCTTGGACTGACAGCTGGTCATCAGCCATCTTATCAGAATATAAAGGATAAAGAGGCCAACTTGTGGGAGGTCTAACAGGCAAATGCCACCAAAAGCAGCACCAAGAAAGTTGGATTCTTAAAGAATAGAATCTCATTGACACATTTTTTTTTTTTTTTCCTACGGCCCATAAGAAATCCTGGCCTCCATCTCTACCACACAAAACAAGTCTAGCAATTTCAGGCCTCTGAAAGCATTTTCCACTTTGATTATCCAGTACTTAATTCCAGTCATTATCCCAGTTAAACTTTGACTGAGTTCAAAGAAAATCTTGCCTGGTAACTGTTTTCCCCAACCTGGAAGCCAAGGCGGGAAGTTTTCCATTATCCTAGAAACCAGTTTCTTGCTTGTCCTGGAACAGCATTGTCTGGGGAATTCCCCTTCTTTCTCATCATCTAGGGACTGTCAATCCATTCTCTTCTGATTCCCACCAACTTCAGGATTTCTTAAAATTTACATCCTGCCTGCTTCTGGTAGCTTATAGACTGTTTGCTTCTTGCGGCCGTGTTAAGTGGCTCAGTTTTGTATTCCTCTCACGCCTGGGTCAGGGGGTTCAGTTTGATTCCATGTAAGACTGCTCCGTCTTGATGGGAAAAAAATTTTGTGGGTACCCCAAAAGAACCTAGCAGAATGTTCTGCACAGACAGGATGTTGAGAAAACGTTTGGAAGGAAGGACAGCAAATAAGGATTAGGAAGTCCGGATTATAGGAGATTTCCTAGCTTCCACCTGTAAAATGAAGCAAGATTCCTAGCCTACTTCTCAGGGTTACTATAATGATAATTATGGGAAGTAAGGTGTGTGCAAGTGCTTTGAATAGACTATAAATTGCTATGCAAAAGTATAAAATAACCATATCTGTCAGCTAATCAAAAAGAAAACAACTCCCACCTCTAGGATCATTCCTGCTCCTACAGTTCTAGTTTCCTGTGAAGCAAAGTTATTTACTTTCCTATACATTTTACTTAAAAGGAAAATGCTCTAAATGTTTATGAGAGCTTTATTCATAATCACCAAGAACTGGAAACAATCCAAATGTCCTTCCGCTGGTAAATGAATAAAATTGTGGTACATCCATACACTGAAATTCTGCTCAGCAATGAAAATAAATGAACTACTAAAAAAATGCAACATGCAGATGAATCTCAGAAGCATTATGCTAAGTGAAAAAAGCCAGACTCAAAAGTTTCACACTGTATGACTCCATTTACAGAGTCAAGACTATAAGGACAAGACTCAGGAAGAGGCAAGACTATAGGACAGAAAACCCATTAGTGGTTATCAGGGGTTGAGGATGAGTCGGGGTGGACATCAGGAAGGGCATGAGGGAATTTTTTGGAAATGTTGTTTTTCTTGATTGTGGAGGGGATCCAGTTTTCTCAAACTAAATTTTACTGTATGTAAATTATACTTAATAGACTTTTAAGAAGTTACTAGAATTTTTAAAAATAAGGCCTCCTTTTCTTCAAACTGGATCTATTCCTAGAAAGCAGGATCCAATCTGCTTGTAATCCATCAGGAGGAAAGAGTTCGATGGGGAGAGCCTTGCTGTTGATGAAGGACTTTTCACAACCATTTGCATCATTGACCATAGCTGGTTTTGACACTAAGCACTTGGCTCAAAGTCTATGAAATTAGCAGGCTCTAGTTACTTGTACATCTCAACCGTCACAACTTTATTGACGAGAATGGCTACCAGCTGTCACCCTTGCCTCTGTGTCTGTATTTGGTGATTCAGACTTCATGGCCACAGCAAATCAAACCGTGATCCTGCTATGGCTCATCGTGTTGAGGTTTGAACTCCTGGCCAAATGGCTGTCGCTCAGCTGTTATGCTGCCAATCACCCGTCACTGTGGGTTAAACATGATAGGTTCACCAAGATCTTCCAACTCTTCAGACATCTGAAAGGCAACTTGCTTTCCACACCAGAAGGCAACAAATCTGGGTGATATTTAGCTCCTAGATTTTAGAATTTCTGGCTTTACAGAAGCAGGGTGACAAGGGAACTTGCTAGCTTTCAGAACAAGTTGCAAAAGGGCCTCAAACTAGTGAGGGGGAAAAATTATGTCAGGGGCACAACACCTAAG